ATGATATCTAGTCTAGTTATAAAAATACGCATATTTATGGAAGTAGTATATCAAGGTTAAACCTGTCTAACACCGTAGGTTGACACTTGGTTATGGATATGCAAGGTTAGAGTGTTAGTTGAATTCATATGAAGTAAAAACAGTTCATGTAAACTAATCAATCATTGGCATAATTATAATAATTGGTCGATTTGGATTAACACAGGTCTTGTGAGAGTATATAAACTAGTCTCTCGTGTTCCTATCGATGGTTGTACTGAATTTTTCGGATTTTTTAGATCCAACACATACACTTAAGGCGCGGCTTGCTACATAGTAAAATCGATTTTGACCGGTTGACTAATTTTTTACATTCATTAACTCAAAATTCGATTGAAATTTATTCAATCCAACTCTCTTCAATACTATCAATATAATTAAATAATTTCAATTAATCATTTTTGCACATCACATCAACTTTCATTTACTATTCATCCAATATCACTCAATCCTCAACTCATTGAACTTACAAATTAACTCATTTTCACTCAAAATTCAATCAAAAACCATTTTGATTTATATCCAATGGACACCTTGCATATCTACACGGAGGTGTCTTGATACAATAATAAGACACTCAGTGACACATGCCCCTATAGAAAAAAAAATAAATAAAATAATATTGGATATACACTTATATAGTCAGTATTGTAAAAAGATACCCTTAAGTTATTTATTAAGTAAACTGTTTATATTTTTTTTTCCAAATTTTGTATATAATTAACTCCTAACTAAATAAAAAGGTGGCAATTGTTCTAAGAATGAAAATATATATCACATTAATTCTTTTACAATTCCATCGTTGAGCAGGTTTTCAATTTCTACTCAAATTGTGTTGTATCTATTAATATATTATATTTTAACTTTATGTAATCCTCTACTGTACTTAAGAATAAAAAAAAATGTGATTTTTAGAACTTTCACAACTTTGATGTAAAGTCAACTTAATTAAGATTTCTAAACTCTTGTTATTATTTTTGAACTGTTGTTATTGGTTTTGATACATATTGTATTTTAGGCGTTCTTAAAAATATAATTATAAAATAGCTACTAAATTGTATTTGTCATTGATTTTTCTACTAAAATGATTTTTAATTTTTGTGAAGAAACCTTATAAATAGAAGTCCACCAATGCTGACATTGAAAGAAATATCCAGTGCAAAAAACAAATGTTGATATTTGAGAAAGTTTTATTTTATAATATTAGAAATAATGTAATTATAGAGGATACTGTATATGAGAACATGTGGAGAATGATTATCATTTTTATTTTTATATTTTTACTGTGTAAAAATTGCGTTTGTGTCCCTTTAGTTTCGCGAGTCTGCGTCCGCCCCTGTCGATTACTGGTAGGTTGAAATTAACCGCTTATGTCATACAAAAGTATGCATATTAGCCACTATATAAGTGTATTAAGGTACAGTCAAACTCTACTAATCTTGGATTTGACACAACTCCGTGATTGATAATTCTCATGATAATCACGAAAGTTATATCGATAAGTATGGTGTTAGGTAGGGCTGATTAGCCTAACCATTAGGCTCGATATATTATTATTCACAAATATGTACACATCTATCACAAAATGTTATATTTCAAGAAACAACATGAACATAAGTATATCGTTTAATAGTATAAATATTCATTTTTATTTAAATAGTACGACAAGTTGATCTGACAAACAATTAGGCTGAATCATTTATTTCTGAGTTATTTATCATTGTATCGACACCCATACATATATGCAAGGACCCAGTTGAGACCCATGTAGAATTTTTTACCCACACGTCTTTATGATGATCTAGCGGTATAAGAAAATAAATTACCGCGAAGATCCTGGTAATTCTCAGATATTGAATGCAGATCAATTTTTTTGGACTTTAGTTCTTCACTGATTATGTTCGTAAGATGTGCTTTTGGGCCGTTACACAAAACTCGACGACATTAAATACGGGTTTGGGCTCACTGTTGCCGGCCGGCCCGCCCAATAAACAACTAGGACAAATAAATTGAGGAGCGTGCATGAACGCCACGTGCACGAAGCCTAACACCGGCAACCACAGCTGGCCACTACCTTGCATGGGCGACACGTGTCTACAAGAGAAACAAGACCCCTGTCAAAGGGATGAGTAATAAATAGTACCTCGTAATTTACAATTGTTGTTGCTAAATAAATATAAGCTTCATCTTTCATAAATCATAAATAAAGGAAAAAATAATTACTAGTAGTATATAAAGGACAATTAATTCATAATTGGATAATTAATTATTGTGTTTCTACTTTCTAGGCCTTAATTGCGCTGAAACTTGAAACCACTCCAGATAGCCATCCCAAGTTGTACCGTTTTACCAAACACATGATTAAAGATAGAGAGTAACTAAGTAATTAGTTATATTATATTATATTAAATAAATTCCTGTGAGACATAGTCATCCCAAGTTGTAACACATAATTAAAGATAGAGAAGAACTAAGAAATTAGTCATCTTACAAAATTGTAATTTTTATAATAAAACGAATTCTTGTGTGGGCAGTGAGCACTGGTCACATTATATTATAAATGTGACAGATGTGCACCAATTGTGGCTTAGGTTATGATTAATTTGTGCATAAATTGTGGTGGTTTACCAAATATAATACATAAAGTTTCAGAACTAATATATATATATACAATTGGAAAATTTGGAAACTAAGATCCCTATTCCCGAAAGTACTGTATAGTTGGGCTTTAATTAATTAAATATATTGTTCTATAATTTTTAATTTGATTAAATTGAAAAGATACTCGTTGTGAAAAAAAAAATTGTATCTCATTAAAAAATTACTTGTCATGCACATGTCCTATTAAGTTTCTGATAAGTGATAAATCATTCTCAATTTGATTAATTTTTTTTAAAAAAATATGAAACTAATATTTTAACACACCCAAAACCTACGAGAAAAAATAAATACTTTTATGAATTTATTATATATATATATATAATTGCATTATTCAGAACTGATTGCAAATAAGTGATTGATTTAGCTTCTCTTTCCTTATTATTTTCTCTTTTTTCCCCTATCTTTTGCTTTTGATTAATTTGTGATCATTGCACAACGGGACTAGGCACGAAAAAAGATTTAACTTTTTTTTTTAATAAAAACTAAAAAGTCACAATTTTCATCAACCCTATAAGAAAAAGTTCAACTGTAACCTCACATGAAGAGCGTGGTTTATTTCAACTAATTGACCGAAAATATAATTGCAAAACAATTGTGTGCCCTTCAAAATAATTACACGTCCCCGCAAAATTCACTATAATCAGATCATACTTATTTTTTTCATGGCCCAAACATTGTATAAGTCAAAGATGTTTATTTCTTTAAGGGTCCTAAAACATTTTTGTTTTTTTAATTTGTTCCATATTTAGCTTTTCAATCATTTTTACAAACACTAATTAACGAACTGATATTAAAAAGGAAGGTCCTACATTTATATTAACCAATTTTTTTTCTTATTCAGTAATATAATAAAAGTAAGTTTTTTTTTTCATTTTTAAATATATTTAATTAATTAATCTGATCATTTGATTTATTTCAAATTTTCATCACTGACAGGAAAATATTACATATTTATATATGCCCTCAGCTCACTTTTTCTTCGTAGGCATACCTAACACACCAACTTCTAATTAGTATTCTTGTAACTAATATTACTGTCACTATGAAATAAAAAGTTAACATTAATTGTAATGCTTGAAATTTTATTGAAATTGTTTAATGAACCAACACAGTATAGTTTAGGGGCAAATCAACTGTACCTCTAATTAATCTATATTCCTTGAAAAAAAACGTGTCATTTCTCCTAAATTCAACTTTAGTAGTTCGTTGATTTGTATGCTATAGTTGTTTTTTAGTCTATAATAATTATATTTATTAATATAACTCTATAGTTTTTTAAAAAAAGTTAGAGAGATTTCTTAGTCGTTATAGATAAGGAGACAAACTGTTTTAGAATTATAATTTTGAAATTAAATTACTAGCTAAAATAAGAAGCTAGCTAACTTTTTAGTATCTTATTCGAGTTTTATTTGCTACTAATTGCAATTGATGGTTTAAAATTAAAGCATGAACTAAAATAGCGGGCATAACTAGAGAAAATAATCAATAATGCTGTGGTTTTCAACACCATCGACCAAAAAGAAAATAATATCATGAAATTTGGTGTGAAGTCAGTAAACAAATGCAAAATTTCTCGTTTTCTGAAGATAAAATAATAATGGATATAGGTCAACATTTAGGTGGTGCAGATCTAAATAACAATGTCGGTGCTTTAACAATCCCAATTCAAATGCAATCCTAATTTTGCCTAATGTTTTTTAAGAATATAATCAATTATTACTAAACAGGTGATAATATAAATAGTTTGTAGATTTCTAAATAATGGTCACAACCAATATAATTCAATTGATAAGCTAGTTGAACCAAGACTCATAAATTTAACAAGTCATCAATGAATAAATTCTAAAATTAACAAACCAAATTACATTAAAACTTCAATAAGTAATGTACAACTCTTCATTTTTCAAGTTTACCTCATTTCTCATTTTGTTATTTAAATGAGTTCAAACTCAGTTATTATATTAAATTATAAATAATTTATTTCATTTAACAGCTTTAAACAACTGGCTCTATAAATCTTTTGCAAGAAAAAATGATAAAATTATAATTTTAATTATTTCAAATCGAACTTGAGTCATAACACCTCTATAGATCTCATTACTCTAAATTTCATTTTAAGGAAAAGAAAAAGTTATAATTTTATTTATTTTTCCATTTTCCATTTCCCCTTTTTCTCCACCGCTTTGTACGTAGGCTGTTACTGTTCGTCTCCTCCACCTGTCAGCCTGTCCGTCGTCTTTCTTCACACGCAAAAAAGCTCGCGCGCACACACTCACACACAGTTGTGCGTTTGATCGCAGTCTTATGTGGTGTTCTTCTTTTTCTTTTTTTGGGATTTGTTATACGAATATAATATAGAAGCACACAGGAGATTTTAGCCGAGGTGATTTGAGGCGATATAGAAAAGGCAGAGGTTTAATTTCAGCTGGAGGAAACTCAAATCTCCACATCTCACTTTGTGTCTCGGATTAATCGAATCATTAGCTTGATATCGAAGGTATGTGCCGATTATTTGAGTCTCTCTGTTTTTTTCCCCTTTAAAAAAGCTGTATTTTTATTGTCTGTTTCTGTTTCTGGGTTTTTTTTGTATTATAAGAAAGGTGAGATTTTTGTGAAGAGAATGGGGAAAAAAGTTCAAGAATTTGAAAAATTAGGTGGGGAAGGGAAGGGGTATATTTCGGTTTTTGCAAAGGTGGGATTGAGATGCATTAATTATGGTTTGAACTTTGTAGCGTCTATTGTTATTATTTGCTGTTTTATTAAATGGTTTGTAATTTTTGTGTTCACTGAATGTAAAAAGTGTCTGAAGGGAAAACGGTAATTAGTATTACTTCTTGTTTTCGTCTTCTTCTCATTTGTTCTGTATTGCTTTATTTTTCCGTTTTGGGAGGTAATTTGGCGAATTGTTTTCCTTCATATGAATGCCAAATATGGGTTTTGTTTCTAAAATTGTCTACTCTTTTGCTATGTTTGAAAAAAAATATGTTCAAACTGTAATAGCTACTTGTAAGATTATTGCACGAGTACTATGTTCATTTGGTGTGACATCATAGGTTTTTTGATTTGGATCCTTAACTCCATTTGTACCCCAAAACAATATAAAAGTACACCAAGAATCCATTATCCTCACAAGATTTACATGTTACAATTTCAAGCAAAACTAGTATAAGCTGTATTTGTGAAATACGGAGGCCAATAGTTGTAAACTTCGAATGCTCGTCTACATTTTTCTTTTTGGCTGTTTTGATTGAGCTCAAGGATCGTTTTCATGTGGTGATGTCGATATTTGTTAGGATAATCTCCTTTTATGCTTTTTTCTTTCTTTCCATTATGATGATGACTTTTTGCAAAGGTATAGCTAAGGATGGTAGTTATTAGTTATTACCCTCATTACCCTCTTATGACAAAGCCTTGTGTTGGTTAGAAATTAGAATCTACTGGCCTTTTGCAATTCTGCTTTATCATATTAGCATATATATAAGATAACACGAGATGTGGAGGCGATTATTGCAGCCTTGGTATATGGTGAGCTTCTGCCGAACTGCTCGAACTCCATAGCTACCTATGAAAGAATCCACGTCATGGAGGTGGATGATGAAGAAAAGACATTTCTTATTTGATGGGGTATGTGTTATTTATTTGATAAATTTATACTTTTCAACTTTTGCTAAATAGAATCACAAGTATTTACAAATGAAAGAATGCTTTCAATGTATAATTGGAATTTGCAGCTAGCATGTGGGGCGAAGATGACACAGCTTCCGTTTATGGTATTTGTCTGTACAGTAATGTTGTTCATCATATATCGGACAACAAATTACCAGTATCAACAGACTGAGGTATTTTGTAAATGCTGCTTCATTTTTACTTCTTTAATTTTACCGAAAAAAATATTGTTTATTGCAATCGATAAGGTCATGTTGCGATTTAAGTCTTGTTCATGACACCTTATCTGCCCTTTTTTTGGCATCCTTTTATCAGATGGACTCGAAATTGTACCCTTTTTATACATCAAAGGTAAATTATCTTAACATCGCTTATCCTTGTCTAATTATTTTTAATCTTTTATTGGAGCATCTTTGTCTCGAGTTACAATATGAAGCTTTTATTCTTTTGTTCTCTCTCTCTCTCTCTCTCTCTCTTTTTTTATTTGTTAGGTTTTTAATATCCTTCTGTTAAGTTGTCATTGATTTCCATGCAGGACCCGGGCATGGTTACCACTGGCTTGAATGGCCTGCCACGTGGAATCATTGAAGCAAAATCGGACCTTGAATTGAAGCCTTTATGGAGTAGTTCTAAATCAAAGGTATTACAATAAAAATATATATGACAATTTTCATGTTTATTTGCATTCTTCATATGTTTAGAGCGTGCTTGGATACAAATATATCCGCTTAAAATGAGTTTTTTGTTAACCAGTGTTAATTTGAAAAATGTGGTATGGTTAGTTGTTAGTGAGATTTTGAGTTTTATATTAAAATAATATTTAAAATCAAATAATTAATGTTGATTTGATGTGAATGTAGGAAAGAGATGATGTGAAGTGATTATTAATTAAAATTATGTAAGTGGATGAATAGTGAATTAAAGTTGATGTGATGTTTAAGAATGATTGATTGATATTAGTTAATTATATTGACAATATTAAAGATGGTGAGGTTGAGTTAGATTTTGAGTATAAATTGAGAAAATTTATAAACAAACACACCCTTAGTGACGATTGTGTATTCAAGCTCCTCTAATCAATATTCATTTATTTATCGATCTTTCTGTATTTTCAGAAAAGTGTGCGGAGCTCTTACAATTTGCTTGCGATGCCTGTTGGAATTAAACAAAAGAAGAATGTCAATGCCGTTGTTCAAAAGGTAGTGCAGTTCTATTTTGCATTTCAATAATAAATAACACGACTTGGTTTAACAGCTGATCTTCTTATTCTTTATTCAGTTTCTTTCAGAAAATTTTACAATCGTTTTGTTCCATTATGATGGGAACTTGAATGGTTGGTCAGACCTGAAGTGGAGTAGTGAAGCTGTACATATAGTAGCTCACAACCAAACAAAATGGTACAACTTATATATATTCTAATGCAATCTTAGTATTGCTGATTTTTGGACTATGCTATTTAATTGTCATGATCTTTTTCTAATTTTTTTTTTCCTTTAATTATTTTTTTCATGTTCAGGTGGTTTGCAAAGCGCTTTTTGCATCCAGCTGTTGTCTCTAGTTATGATTACATATTCCTCTGGGACGAAGATTTGGGGGTTGAAAATTTCCACCCTGGAAGGTGCTATTTGCATCATTTTATTGTTTAATTTGATTGTATGGAAATTATTTTCTTCAAATCGTCAATGAAAATGCCAGTAGTGATTTATCAATCTGAAGTCTGAACTAATTCTTGCTGAAGTTAAGAACCTCAAGTGTTCTGTTTCTAGTAAATGGATAAAATAAAAGTATTCATCGTGAGATTTGTTCTGAAATAAAGCAAACCTGAATTTTTTTATTTAAGGCTTCACATTAAGAGACAAAAAAAAAGAAGAAGAAGTCTTCTATGTTATATTTAAGGCTCCACTTCGTCATATGGTGCATTATTCGGTATTTTCTAACTATTAACTTCTCCCTTTTTTGATCAGGTATCTGGAGATTATAAAATCAGCTGGACTAGAAATATCTCAGCCAGCTTTAGATCCGAATTCTACAGGTATACATCACAGGATCACAATTAGAAACCGAATGAAGATATTCCATAGGTAAAATTGTGTCCATGATTTTAAATTTTGTCTTAATTAAATTTATGGTATTTTGGTGCCTTCGGTTTTTTAACATTCTATCTTTTAAGCAGAAGGGTCTATGAAGCCAGAGGAAGTACCAAGTGTTCAGATGATAGTGAAGGGCCACCATGCACTGGGTAAGTTAAACTTTCTCAGTCTTTATTTTTTGTACTACATATAAACAATAAAGTCTTTTCTCATTATATTATTTTTCAATACAGCATAACATGAGCTTTNGATTTGTGGAAGGAATGGCTCCTGTATTTTCCAGGTCAGCGTGGCAGTGTGCCTGGCATTTGATACAGGTAATATTTTCTTAAATATGTAATTTCATGCATGAATAAATATAAGGGAGAGGTGAATCACATGCAAAAGTCAATTACAGAAATTCAATCAACTTCAATATGTATTTTCTTTTCTTCGCATTTTACCGTATTATTATAAGCAGGATTTCATGTCCCGTTTCTATAATTCTTACAACATTTTCCCTTTTTTCAGAATGATCTTGTTCATGGATGGGGCATGGACATGAAACTCGGTTACTGTGCACAGGTAACACTGCTATTTTTCTTTCTTGTTAATCCAATCTCTTTAGAGTAATTTTTCAGTACTAACTCAATTTGATTTTATTTTATTTGCTTAATAACTCGGACCTTCATAGGGGGATCGCACGAAAAAGGTAGGTGTAGTTGATAGTGAATTCGTCGTTCATCAGAGTATTCAAACTTTGGGTGGGCCATCTGCAAAGAAGGTAATCAACTTCTCTCTCTCTCTCTCTCTCTCTCTCTCTCTCTCTCTGTTTGTGTGTGTGTATGTGTATGTGTGAATTTATCTTAGTTAAAGATTATAAACGACGATTTTTTCCTTTTCTTCTTCATTATGACCTTAATTAGAGTTAAAAAATTATACAAGTAATGTATCCAAACTAAAGTTTACTGATTGTCCTTTTTTTTTACCTTTGAACAGAGGCACACCATAGATGTTAGATCAGAGGTGAGAAGTTTTGTTTTACTAATCAATTCTAAACTTAATTTCATTCATTTATTTACTTTGTATGTGCAAAAAACAAAAACAAAAAAAAAGCAATGCAGCTAGTTAATTTAATTTTTTTTTGCTTTCGGATTTGGTATGGGTGCAGATTAGGAGACAATCGACAATAGAGCTTCAAACATTTAAGCAACGATGGGAACAGGCTGTGAAGGAGGACAGCAAATGGGTCGACCCGTTTCCTTCGACCCGTAAACAAAGGCTTAGAAGAAGGCGAGGCCATAAACGTAACGTGTCCAAGTTTTAGTCTTTAGATCAACCGATTACTTACTACTAGGTGCTCGTTTTGCAATTCTTACAGAATGTGGGGGGCAAATGAATTTCGCAGTTTGATATTTTTTTTTTAATTTTTTTTTTCTTTTTTGTTTTAATCGTTCTTATCTTGCTTGTTCGGGAGCNATGCACATAAAATTTTACAAATAGGTTTGGCTTGTGTGTGTTTTGTTGTTGTTGCTTCTGTTCTTTTATTCTTCGTTTATTCTAACACGTGTCATTCATCTGACGAAATTGAATATGCGATGGGCCTATATATCTTCATTTTTGCCTGTAACTAAAGTGACCATACATAGAGGTTTTATGATTTTCTTTAAACTGCTGTTTTATGTGTCTGTTTGTTGAGCATAGTTTAAAATGATTAGACATGGCTTGATGGAGAGAAATGGTAGATTAGTCTAAAAAGGATAGATATAATTTGTTGAATTAAACTAACATATTTAGATATAACTCTTTGTACATGATTAATCCACTAAATTGCCAATTATAGTTTAAATTGGAAATTATAATTCAAGAAAGCAAGGTCAATAAACTAGAAATAAATTTGGATACTCACTTATTTATGCTCCTCCATTTGTGCTTCCCTTGCAAATATCTAATTTTCTATTATCCAAATTTCAAATTCTACTGAAATTTTCATGGGAGACTCCATGTATTTATATGTACAGATTACCCATTATTGAACATACTACTCTTTCAGTGTCTGCTGCCCTTTCTTTGCCTATTAGTACTTTAGAAATTATAAATATTTGACTAACTTTATCAATATATTTTTAAAACTTATTATTTTTTTATATATAATACAGCAAATTAATAATATTTTAAAGACTTTAAATTTGATATCATATTGCTGATATAAAAAAATAAATTAATATCTACTTCACATATGAAAAACAAATCATATATTAATTTTAATTGACAAACAAAATTGTAATTATTATTTACTAATTAAAATAAGTTTATATATCATACCTATTATAAGATACTAATTAAATAATAGATACTAATTAAAGGGGGAAAATATTGTGGCTGGTTTTGCCCACGGGCTTTAAAGACTGCAACTTTTTTCTCATTCCACCGAAGCTTTCTCTCTCTAGATTCTCTTTCTCTCAACCGCTTTGAATGAATCAAATACTCTGCCTAAAATATTCTTCGACCCCCAAGCATTCGAGGTTACGCTTTTTTCTGCATTCTCTCTTCTGTTCATCACAGTTGAGAATTAGATCTGACGATGGCTAACCGTTATGATTCCAACCCTTTCGAGGAAGTTGATGAAAACCCATTTGCCGTGAGTTTCCTTTTTTTCCTTTTCCCCCTTCTTACGGTTATATTAGTGAAGGAAATATGTGTTCTTGGCTTGAATTGCTCGAAGCTGAACTCTTGCTCTTAAAAGTTGAGGGGAAAAAATTGGGAAGTTTTTGATGAATTTGATTTGTTTTGGCAGCTGGGTAGCGAAGAATTAGGAGTTCAGTATGTGGGGAATAGTGAGATCTTTGATGGAGTTTGCTGTTGGTTCATAGTGTGAATTCTGTTTGGGGGGTTTTTTTGTTGTGGTCTGAGTTGGAAATGGAAGTGATATTCATCATTTCGTTTATATTCTGAAGTTCATTCTTATTATTAATTCAAACGTATAGTTGAGGAATTTGAGTTTTTTCTTTTTATTTTGTTCTTGAGGTTTGTGATGTTAGTTGATGCTACTGTTGATAAGCATCGGTGTTAATTCAATGAAAGCTAGTTTTAGTTTGAGTATTATGCGATTCATGATTGAAAATAATGTGAAAATTGATTACATGAAGAAGGAAGAGACCTAGTGATATGTCTGTAGATTCAATATCTAAATGATACTTTGCAGAAAGAAGAAAGAAAAGAAAATATTAATGATTCCTTGAAGAAATTACTAATTAGTAGGCCTTAATGGTCTGTTCATATGGCATGTTGATAATTTCTTGTGTTCAGGATGGAGGAGCTAAAGGAAAACCGTCTGGACAACAAAAATTTAGTGGAGGCTCATTCTTTACAACAGTGAGTTTAATTTTAATTTTACTCTTCTGTTTTGAGAAGGAAACTCTTATGTAAGTTGCAACTAGAAGGATTTATTCGAAATATTCCAAATTTTGTAGGAATTTATCCGTCCATAATCATAATCTCTTCCATTTCCATAGAGTTCACAATTACGCATACAAGGATTCATTGTAAACATGAGAAGTAGATTTTTTTAACCCAAACTAAAAGTGGGGTGTGGTAGAACCAAAATCAGAAACTAAAACCATGGATTATGGATCTTTTGTCTCACTTATAAGGATCAAAGCCAGCATACTTAAACTTTCAATGAACTGAGTTATCGTGAGAGATTCAGTCTTCAGGGGATATACTTTAAGATTTGGAAATATTAAGCATTTATAATTTTATCTATGGAATTTTTGTTGAGCAATTTACCACACGTCAAATCATTTTTGCTCGGTAACACAAGGAGATTCCCCACTAGATTTAGGATTCCGGTTTTAACATTGTGATTTAAAAAATTCATTCTCACATGAGCTTGTAGTTATGGTGAAACTCTTTGACACATTGATGCTTTTTATTTATACAGTCTGCTGGAAGTGTTCCACCTGCAGCAAACTCGAGGTTATCACCCCTTCCTCCCGAGCCTGCTGATTTCTACAATCCCACTGCAGTTGATATTCCACTGGACAGTTCTTCAGTAAGTGCAATTATTTAGAATTTTACCTGAGATCTTGAGTTTTGTCTTCTTTCGTTATTTCTTCACTTTCTTTTTT